ATGTTTCCCTTGAATGATTTTGTGGCTAGCTGATTTTATTTTACATTTAGTTAGTATTCGGTTGGTCTGCTTTCTTTGCTGTGATTTTATTTTCTCTGGTGACATCTATTTAGCCTTAGGAGCACTTCTGTGTAGAGCAGGCCCTTTAAAATACACTGCAGAGATAGTTTGTGGGAGGTAAATTCCCTCAACCTTTGCTTATCTGGGAATTGTTTAATCCTTCCTTCAAATTTAAATGATAATCTTGCTGGATACAGTATTCTTCGTTCAAGACCCTTCTGTTTCAGTGTGTTGAATACATCATGCCATTCTCTTCAGGCCTGTAGGGTTTCTGCTGAGAAGTCTAATGATACCTAATTGGTTTTCCTTTCTAAGTGATCTTTTTCTCTCTCTTGCTGCTTTTAATACTCTGTCCTTGTCTTTAATCTTTGCCATTTTAATTATTATATGTCTTGGTGTTGTCCTCCTTGGGTTCCTTGTGTTGGGAGTTCTGTGGGCTTCCATGGTCATAGAGGCTCTTTCCTTCCCCACTTTGGGGAAGTTTTCAGCAATTATTTCTTCAAAGACACTTTCCCTTTTTCTCTCTTTTCTTCTGGTACCTCTATACCCCTATAATATGAGTATCATTCCATTTGGATTGGTCACACAGTTCTCTTAATATTCTTTCATTCCTAGAGATCCTTTTTTCTCTCTCTGCCTCAGCATGTCTGAATTCTTGTTTTCTGTTTTCTATTACATTAACAGTCTCTTCCGCCTAATCCAGTCTGCTTTTAAATCCTTCCATTGTTTGTCATTTCTGTTATCTCCCTCCAGAATTTATCCTTTAGCTCTAGCATATTTGCAGCTTCATCAGCATGCTTATGACTTTGATTTTGAATTCTTTTTCAGGAAGTTTGGTTATATCTAGCTCACCAGGCCCTCTCTCTGGGGTTTGAGGGATTTTGGACTGAACAGGGTTATTCTGACTTTTCATGGCGATGGAAGTGATTGCCAGTGAATGACACATGTGTCAGCTGGGAGAACAAAGTCCTTTCCTGCTTGCTGGTCACCTTGTCCATCTCTGTTGCCTGTTCTGGGCATCTGCACACATGAAGCAGCCTCTGGTTTGATCTGCTGAGCTTTTGTGGATGGGGCAGCTGTCGGGATGACCTAGTGCACTGCCGGGGTTTGCAGGCAAGCAGCATGTGTTCTCCTGCAAGAATGGCACCACTTCATGCTTTCCAGACTCCATGCTGGTTTCCACTGCCTGTGCCGGGCAACCCGCATACAGGGAGCAGCCTCTGGGTGGATCCCCTGAGCTACCATGGTCAGGGTGGCCTGCAGGATGGCTTAGGGCACTGGCGGTGTTTGTACATGATAAGCACTTGTTCTCTGTGAGAACAGAGCTCCTACATACTTTTCAGACTCCGTGCCATCTTCCTCTTCCTGTGCCTGTTGACTGTGCGCAGGGTGCAGCCTCTGGGTTGATCTGGGCGGGTGGTCCTTGGGATAGCCTAGTGCACTGGTGGTGCTTGCAGGCAGTCAGCGTGTGTTCACTGTGGACAGAACTCCTACATGCTTCTCGGGCTTCACACTGGCTTCCTCTGCCCATGTCAGTCCGCCAAGAGCATTGGGCAGGCCCTGAGCTGCTGTGGGTGGGGCAGTCCTTGGTATGGCCTAGGGCACTGGTGGGTTGCAGAGAAGTAGCATATGATCACTGCGAGAATAAAGCCCCTTTGTGCCTTCCAAACTTTGCACTGGTCTCCGCTGTGTTGGTTGACTGCGGAAAGGGGGCAGCCTCTGGGTCTGTCCCAGTTAGCCACGTGCTGGGAGAAGCCTCTGTGTGGTTGCTGTGGGCAGGGCTGCTCCCCAGTTACTCCACAGCAATGGCAGATCAGCCCCTTTGCTTGCAGTGCCAGCTTCAGGTAATGAATGGCAGGCTGCTTATTGCCATGAGGGGCTTTGGTGCTGCAACCCCCCCAAGGGGTTAGGGCACCTACAGTTCTGGTTATTCAGCAGTCCTGTGCTTCCACCCCCTCCCTACTCTTGATTCTTTTCCTCCCACCGGTGAGCTAGGGTGGGGGGAGTGCTCCAGTTCCACCAGGTCTCTGCTTTGCATCTTACCCTCTTCATGAGATGTTGAGTTCTCACAGAAGTAGATGTAGCCTGGCTGGCCAGTAGAGTTGTATTCGCTGTATTTTCAAAGTATATATGGTTTTAGGAGGAGATTCTGCCATACTACTCATGCTGCCATCTTGAGAATCTCCCCTATTCTTTCATCTTAGAGATCCTTTTTTCTCTCTGTGCCTCAGCTTGTTTGTATTTTTCTTCCCTAATTTACATTTCATTTATCATCTCCTCCACTGTATCTCATCTGCTTTTAATACCCTCCATTGTGTTCTTTAATGGTTGGATCTCTGTCCTAAATTCGTTCCTGAGTTCTTGGATATTTTTCTGTACCTCCATGAGCATGTTAATGATTTTTATTTTGAAATCTCTTTCAGGAAGATACATGAGGTCAATTTCATTTGAATCTTTCTCAGGTGTATGCATAATTTTGCTTTGAATCGGGTTATTTTTACATTTCATACTTTGTCTGTGGTGCCCTCTAGTGTCCAGAAGCTCTACTCTCGGGAGCTGCTCAGCCTCTGGAGCAATGTCAGGGGTTAGCAGGGGGCCATGTTGGTTCTTGTGGGGAGGAAGGAGCTGTTTCCTGCTTCCAAGTTGCTATCCCTGTCTCCACTGCCAGAACCAGTGGACTGAACACACAGGTGTAAGCCTCTATGCTTTGTGTTTGTAGTTGTCATAGGCAGGGCCGTCTGGCTGGCCTGTCACCATGGCAGGGGTTTCTGGTTTGCGAGCCAGAGTCAGGTCCAGGCTAGCAGGGAGGAAGACATAGCAGGCTGCATATCACGGTGAGGGGTCGTGGACCTGCATAGCCAGCCATGGGGATGGAGCACCTGAAAATCGTTTAAGCTCCCAACCTGCACCTGGACAGTTTTGTCTACCTGTCCTTTCTCCTGAGCAGTAAGCTCTGTGCAATCCTTGCCCCTTTAGCAGCCCTCTTGCTTTTAGGAAGTCTCTCAGACTGCCCTCCCAGATCAGCCGGATATGAATCCCTGTTTTCCAAAAACAGCTAGAATCTCCATCTCTCTAGGTATTCCACCTGTCTTAGTTTTCCAGGCACACTAAATCACCAGAGCACCATGCAATGTAGGTTCACGCTACCAGAGCAGATCTCCAGGGCTAGGTGTTCAGCAGTCCCAGGTCTCCACTCCCTCCCCACTCTATTTCTCTTCCTCCCACTGGTGAACTGTGGTAGGGGAATGGCTTGGGCCCCACCAGGTCACAGCTTTGGTATGTTACCCTGTTCCGTGCGGTCTGCTCTTTTCTCCACATGTATGCAGTCTGGTGCAGCCTTCTTTCCTGTTGCTCTTTCAGGATTAGTTGTATTAATTATATTTTCGTATTATATGTGGTTTTAGGCGGAAGTCTCTGTCTCACGTCTTACGCTGCCATCTTTAATCCAAATCGGATGGACTAATGTTTATTTTCTTTGATAGTCACATACTGAACAATGTAACTTTATTAAATACTTTTTCTTTGTAAACTATGAGAAAGGGCCTTTATGGAAAATATAACATTGCTGGGGGCTCTGAGGCATCATGCCAGGTATGTTTTTAACTAAAAGTAAGAATAAATATTACCATGAAGAATGCAATGAACTGATTGCTATCCAAATTTTAAAAATCTATTCAGAATGTTACCAATAATAGTGGTTGCCTTTATCTGTTGTAAGGCAGAGTATCTGCTACATGGACCTGGAGTGCTAAGTGGTTTCTCTTTTTTTCCCCTATTTTAATTCTAGACACTTAGCAGGCTAAGGCTAAAGAAATGCCACAGACAATCCCAACACAGGCATGACTGTTAAACCCTGTGGCAGAGGGGAATGAACATGATCTTTAAATCCATGCACATTGGCATTTAACTTCTACTCTGCCACTTCTACCCTAAGGAAATTACAAAATCTTAAACAACCTCAGTTTCCTCATTTATAAAATGGAAATATTTTCCACCTTGTGAGGATTAAAGGTAATATTTGTATTGAGCATGGCACTTAGAAGGCATTCACTAAACTAGTTCTTGTGATTACTTTGATCTAAAATGGGTGAGTCTTCCAAGAAGGGTGGATTGTCACAGGAGGGTGAAGCCCAGCCTGGAGCACAATGGCAGTTATGGTTACTATTGCAAAACTGCAGAGGAGAGGAGAGAGAGTCCCATGGGATTAGGAACCCCAAGGTCACCCCCAGCCTTTTGGGCCATTCACCCCATGGCCATGGCAGGTTATCAGGCAGTGGTCCAGCTCCAGGAAGGTAGTGTTCTGGCAGCGCCTGTCCTGGCACACCTATGGGCAATGCATGCACTGGGCAGTGAGGTGGAATGACCTTTGGCCTCAGGACTTGGGGCAGGGAGCAGTCAGGTGAGCAGGGCTCACCATTCCAGGTCCACACTGGGTGCCCGGTTCTACCAGGTCCAAGTCAAGCAGGTCCAGCTGGGCACCAGATAACATGAAGGCTCCCCTGCAGGTCACCTCATGGCTGCCAAGGTGGATGGTGGAGTCCACTGGCAACAGGTATGGTGGGAGTAGGTTCTGTTCCCCACCCTGGCACCGCAGCTTCCCACACTGTGCATCCCTGGAGACGCAGTGGAGGGTGGTAAAAAAAAAAAGGGAGGGGTGGGAGAGGGTGGGTGGGGTGGGAGGGAGAAGGGGATTGAGGGGTATTATGATTAGTACACATCATGTGGGGGGATCATGGGGAAGACAGGGTAGCACAGAGAAGACAAGTAGTGACTGTGGCATCTTACTGCACTGATGGACAGTGACTGCAATGGAGTATGGGGGGTACTCAATAATATGGGTAAATGTAGTAAACATGTTTTTTGTGTAAAACCTTTAATAAGAGTGTATATCAATGATACCTTAATAAAAAAACGAGTAAAACAGGTGAGTCTTTTCCTCATTTAAGAAGTCATATAATTTGTTTTTATTTGGTGCCAAGATCTAGATTTCTGGCTTTGGTCAAAAGCAATTTACTTATCACCTGGTAAAATTAAGCACATTCACTTTTTTTTTATTGTAAAATATACATAACAAAATTTACCATCTTAACAAGTAGTATTAAGTATATGTACATTTTTCTGCAACCAATCTCCAGAACTCTTCATCTTACATAGCTGACTCTACCCATTAAACAATTCCCCATTCTTCCCTCCATTCTGCTGCCATCTCTGAATAACCACTCTGGGTACATCATAAATGTGGAATCATACAGAATTGGTCTTTCTGTGACTGGCTTATTTCACCTAGCATAATATCGTTGAGGTGCATTCATGTAGCATGTGTCAGGATTTCCTTTTTAAGGCCGAATAGTATTCCATAACACAGATAAACCACATCTTGTTTATCTGTCAGTGGATAGATACTTGCACTGCCTCCACTTTTTGGCTATTATAAATAATGCTGCTATGAACATGGGTGTACAAATACCCTGCTTTCAATTCTTTTGGATATATACCCAGAATGCTGGATTGTGTGTGAATTCTATTTTAAATTTTTTAGGAACCTCCATACTGTTTTCCACAGCAGCTGTACCATTTTACATGCCCACCAAACAGTGTACAAGCATCCCAACTTCCCTACATCCTTGCCAACACTTTTTTTCTGAAACTGACTACTTTGTTTTTTTAGTAGTAGTCATCCTAATGGATGTGAGGTGGTAGCTGATGGTTTTAATTTTCAGTTTCTAATGCTTAATGATTAAGCACTTTTTCATGTGTTGTCAGGTATTTGTATATTGTGTGTGGAAGAATGCTTATTCAAGTCTTGCCCATTTTTGAATTGGGTTGCTTTTTGTTGAGTTGTAGAAGTTCTTTATGTTGTCTAGATATTAACCTTTTCAGATATTAACCTTTTCTCAGATACATGATTTACAAATATTTTCTACCATTTTTTAGGTTGCCTTTTCACTGTTGATTCCATGTAAGTAAATATAAATACTGTTTATGGCCTTTTTCCCTCCTTATGCCTTAAAAGCAAGTGATGGTAATTATTTTGATTATCTGGAACATAGTAGGTATTTTGTTATTTCTTATATTAGTTGAGGGGTTTGAAGGAATTGCCTTACAGGAATCTTGTCCTACAGCAGGAATTCTTTCTACAATTTTTCAACACATTCACATTCCCAGTGGTGGAAGCTTACTACTTAGTGAGTCTGTCTGTCTCAATACTGTTGTAAATACTTTTTGGAAGCTGAGTTCTTTAACAGCGCCTCATGGTTTATTTAACTGATTTTAAAAACTTTTATCATGAAAATTTTCAAATACAAACATCAGTAAAGAAGATAAAATATCATGAGATCCTATGCCAATCACCCAGACCCAACAGTTAACAAGATTTTGCCACACTTGTTTAACCTACATTATAAGGACAATGCCATTATTATACTTAACAAAATTAATAAAAATTCTATCATTAAATATGCAGCTTAAAATATTTCCCTGGAAGTCTCTAAACTATTTTTTTGTTTTTTTGCTAGAATCAGGGTCAAAACACGGGTCCACACTCAATAATGGGTTGCTAATTTTAATTACAAAAGCAATGCATACTCATTGTAAAAAAAAAAAAAGATTCAGAAGTTATAAAGTGAAAAGTGTAATTCCCCCTTCCCTTCATCCACTTTCCACACCCTGCTAAGTTTCTTGCATATCCTAGAAAATTTTAATGCACATATGTCTTCTACAGGTAAGATAATGCCATATATATGTTCTATAATTTTTTTTGGTAATGAAAAGATGGCTGTCAGTGCATCTAGATCTGTCTTTAACAGCTGCAAGATATTCACCTATGTGACTATGGCAAAGTTTTTTTAAACATGCTGATAGGCATATGTAAGTTGTTTTCATTGGGCCATTAGCAACAGTGCTATATAGTAAGCATCATTTTACATAAAGTTCTATCCTTGTTCAAGTATTGCTGAGGAGTAAATTTTAAGAATAGAATTGCTGAGTGAAGCGTGATCTTGACTTTTATTTGGATGCCTGTCCATCTAAATTAGAAGAATTCCATTTTCTCCGTACCCTCACCAATCTGAGAAGGTGAAAAAAGTGGGTCCTGATTACCTTTCGGTGTTTTTCTGCCTAGCTGTTTGCAGTGACTGTTCTTTCAAATGGAAATATGCCATTAGAAATAGTTGATACTGGCACAGTTGCAATCTAAAAAATTTTGAGCTAAGTACACACCAGCAAAGTAGAGACCTGAAAATATCCAGAAAAGTAAAGCTTCATAAAAATTCCCTTGAATTTCAAACAAGGAAGGCTGAAATTCACATCACCTCTAGCTTGAGTGGGCCTGACCTAAGCAAAGCCCTCTAGAAGACTTTAGGTAGAGAATAACAACATATATAGGAAAATATATATATAAAATTTGATAAAGAGTTTTACACCAGCCCTCTCCACTAAGCCAACTAACCACATGTGACTGTTAACAACCCAAACTGTGGCTGATGCAACTGCAGAACTTAATTTCTAATGTTTGATTTAAATTAAACGTAAAAATGGATACTTATTAGAAAACATTTAAGATGTTTCAGACATCTTTAGTATGTGACTGTATTTTTCCACAGTAAATTTTATGAAATCTAGATACAAATTAAGTACGTCTGATAAAAACCCAGCATCTACATTGAAATGTATGCTAAGTATAAAACACACACCAGACTTTTGATACTTAGAAACAAAGAATTAAAATATCTCAATAATTTTCATGTTGATTACATATTGAAATAATGTTTTTGATTTATGTTAAATATATCAAAATTTCACCAGCTTTTTTTTAGAGGAGCTATTAGAAATTTTTAAATTATGTATATGGCTCATATTTGTCAGACAGTGCTGCTCTACATCAGGATAACTAACTACATTTTCTGGGGAGAAGACTCATAGCATTCCCCAAGAATCTGAAATCCCAAAGAGGTTGAGAATCACCATACTAGATGAGACTATAAGATAACCTCTCTAGCTCCTTCTGGAGACTGCCTTCTAAAAGCCTTTTTCAGAGGTAACTGATGCTTAAAAATAAAGCATTTACCAAATCACTGTTACTCTGATAAAAGGGAGGTTTCCAGCAGTCATTTCTTTTGATGCATTAGCTGGCCAGCTTGGAGCATCACGTCCAGTACTGAAAACCTTAGTTCCTCACAAGGGTCAGCTTTCCAGAGGCAAATTACAACTAGAGAACTGCAGTGGCAGGATTAACTTCTCCACCTTCTTGCCTGCCTCCCCAAACCCATGTCCTCTGCCCCCAAAAAAGTTTATCTGGACAAAATTCCTGAAAGGCTGTGAAACTTGCATGGCTAATTAAAAATTGAAAGTAACTGCTGCTGACCTGAGAAAGTCATGGGAATAGTACAAAAATCGGGTAGAAGCAAGGGAATTAAAATGATTGTTTATACTTAAATAATGAAGTACTCCTTAATTATTTTATGTTAAGTGACAACACTGAAAGTAGTATATCCTTAATGAAGCAGTAGGAGAGCAGTTTTATTGTCTCATGATTTATCATTTTGTATTTCAGGAAGCTGAATATCATTCCATTCTTATTACCCATATATTGCATAACTGTATCTTTGGAAGGGAGATGAGGAGGGAGCCTACCAATGTCAGGACAGAATTAGGAGAGGATGGAGATGTATATAGATTTAAAAAGCACATTCAAAATGATCATTACTCGATTTAGCTGTGACAGTTGTATATTTTTAAACTTCAAAGAATTCTAGAGGATACACATTTTGATTATCAAAAGGGAGCACAAATTTAAAAAGTTTGAAGATCTCTGTGCTAAATCCATGCTGCTTTACATTAGAGTGGGATAATCCAATAAAATATCTCACCCATGAGCAAATCAGAATTCTAGGAATTCTTTGTACTAGAGGAGGTGATACTAAATAACATGCCTCTGTGTAACTGTCTACTGAGTTCTTTAATCAGAGTAAGTTTAGAATTTAAATTTGGCATATGCAAAGTAGAACTTTCCTACCTATCTAAAGCATGCCTACACTTATCACCAAAAGTAGGTATACTTGAACAGTAAACACAACATTTTAACTTAGTGATTTATAAGGCAGAAAATAAGTTCTTAGTCACTTTCCTTACAGCCACTTTTTCATCCACAAAGAAGGCAACAGCCATAATCTTTTTAAATAAAATAAGTGGAACCATAATTAGTTAAAGTCCAGATTATTAAAAATCTTGAGTCTTCACTCCCCCCTCGACTCCCCCCTGCCCTGGTCTCAGTAATTTCTGGGCACATGCGAGCAGCAGAGTTGAGGATTAGGGACAAGTTGGAAATTTTCTTAACCTGTTGGCAGCAGTTACCACGTAGAAATGTTTCTTGAGGTGAAGAGAGAAACCAAAAAACATATTTTTAGATCAGTTGCTTTAAGAAGAGTTAATAAAAGGACTAGTGAAAACAAGATTTTAGCAAAATTATAATAGAACAGTCACATGACTTTCAGGAGCATGTTTGGAGCACATAGTAAGTGAGAAAATATACTTGTATTCTGGCTCTCTAAGTAAAGCTATTTTTTGTTTGTGTTTTTAGCAAAGATCTGAGTCAGTATCAAAATGTTGGAAAGTCACTTCCCTAGAAAACAGTTGTTTCTAAGATAGTTTTTATGTCTATATTTCCAAAGAGTTCTGTTGTAAACAAAATTATGAAACTTTTAAAGCTTAATAGGGATTTTCCAGCCCCTATTTCTGAAATGTGGAGGAATCAGGCCACAAGCTACAAGCAGTTCTGAGAACTTCAACTATTGTCATTGAGAACATTCACTCAAATGTCATTCTGTTACTTCAAATGTCCAGTAAGTGTAAGCTAAATGCCACTTTTATGCCAGTTGTTTTTGGTTTGTGACATTTTTTAATTAGGCTAACAATTTTGACATGAAAGACTTTTTTCTTCCCAAATAACCTTTCTATTTAGAATCAAAATGTAAGTAAAAACTTAGCTACTCTTCTTTCAAAGGACATATCAAGAAGACATGCTGCCTTCATTTAAAGAAAAAACAGATACCTTCCATTTTCTCTGAGCCAAGTATTTCTGCAGCAATAGTTGGGACTTGAGACGAACTTCACATTTTGAAGCTTTGGCAGGCAAATTACTCAACCACTCATGTTTTAGGCACTGTGTGGCACTCATTCTGCAGCTGTGAAACAAAACAGTAATTGAGACTTTTGGTTGGTGTTGCCTTTTCTGGATGTCCACAAATTAATTCAGTGGGGTAAAAAGCCTGAGCTAGTGGAACAGATTAATCATTTAGGCAGGTTCATGCCGTGTACTAAAAAGGGAACTCATGTCTAGAACTCCACTCCTTAGAAGTATAAGAAAGTTGTTCAGCAAAATGTTCCCTGCCCTCAGTAGAGGGAATATATCCCAGTGATAAACCACCCCCTCCCAGAGAGAGCTGGGGAACTGAGGCAGGGCAGTGGAAGGCCAGCTGTGCCTAGAAGTACTCTTAAGATAGTAAAAGAGCATGAGCCTTGAAAAATCCTCAGTCTCTCCTTCCAGAGAATAATGTCAATTTGTTCATCTGAATTAGAAATATTTTTTCTCTTATCACTTTTCACAATCAGAAAGCAACAAAATTATAATGGCCAGGGAACTATGAGCTGTCTCGGAGCCCAAACTCTTGGGACTCACCCCTGCATCACTTGCAGTTATTTTTCTATGTCTGAGTATCAGAAACTCAATGGCTTCACCATGACTGATGTAGCTGCTGAAAACTAGGTAGGCCTTCACTATCAAGAAATGAGGTTTCCTGGCCTTTGTTCTGGGGAATAACATTTGCACATCTCAACTTTTTTTCAAGATTAGCCTATTAATAATGATACTTGGTAATAGGACTAATTTTTAAATATGATCCTTTCTAAAACTCTAGGTTTTATGCTCCTAGTTGTTTGTTTTTTAATTGATTTCCTTCATCCCTTTCCCTGCTGCCTTTTTTCCTCCAAAGAAGTAGCAGACTAAGAAACCCTGGACAGAATCAGCCCATAGGAAGCCCAGCACCAGCCTGCTCTCCAGGTGAGCAGTTACCATCAGAAAGGTTCATGAGTGATGTTCAATAATGAGTACCTCTTCTCCTTGACCAGCAACTGGGAAACAAAGTCCTTGGCCTCCTCCGACAGCCCTTCAAAGGTGTCAGTATCGAAATCCCAAGTGCAGTTCACAATGAAATTCATGGTCTCTGCATCTGTTTCCCCTAGAAATGGGGACAGACCACTGAGTCTATAGAGAAGAGAAAGGACTGTCAGTATCAGGAAGCCACATCTGCCAACATGCATTGACAAGACAGAGACTCTTACAAGGTTCAAGCAGAACTAACTGGAACCTCTATTATCTCTCCACAGGAGATGGTTCAGTGTGTTTGGTTAGGGGAGGAAGTGGCAGGATTGAAAATTTGGAGGCAGGAAGAGTGTTTTAATAAATCCCCAGCCATGCTTACCTTTTTAACTCTTACTTGAAGTAAAGGGTAAATTGGGACCTAATCCAATATGTCCACATATCAGGTACATATTGACTTAATATAAAAATAGCTTAGCATGTCTGAGACAGCCAGCCCAATTTAGATAATAGTCAGGGCTCAGGGGCCAAAGGAAAACTGGCTTTATTAGACCCTTCCAGAGTGAGGGTGGAGAGACAGGGCTGGCCTTGGCCTTGAACTTCCCCCTCCTGGTGCAGCACATATCCAAAGTGTGGGACACAGGTAGCAATTATACCACAATGATAAGACTGGGAGCAAAGCATGACTTTGACCTGTGAGGAAATAACCCACAGAGAGAGGAACATGTTTAGTCTGTACACAAATGTCCTCTCTGCCCATCCTAACTGCTTCCTCAGCCCATAGAAAACACCGAGTGCAGAGCAGGAGGGACAAGGTCAGATGATGCTGCAGTGTCCTGCCCTGCCCATCCCCTCTCCTTACCACTCTGGTGCACTCCAGCCCCACTTGGACTGCAGCACCTGCATTTCTTTGCTAGAGAGCCTTCTGTCTAGTGGAAGCTGCTTTTTCCACCCAGAAGTTTCTGGGAATTAATGCTGCTAGATCAGCCCACAAGCAATAATTGATAGAATTGGTATAGGAATACCTCAACCCTCTCACCCATCAGATGTAATGACTCCACCAGAGATCCCAGCAGTCCCCCCAGGATTAAACTCCAGTTACCAGCAGTTGGTAACTGACTCAGTAACTGCTTTAAAGGTTGTCTTCCCCCATCCCGCTTCCCCACTCATCTGTTGGTGTTTCCTGGGAACAGCTCCCAAATAAACTACTCACACTCAAAGTTTTGCTGCTTCTAAGGTTACCCAAACTAAGACAGCCCCATCCCCACTGAAAGCCAGGCCCAGGGCACTCACAGCATGTAGATGATGACTCCCACACTCCACATGTCCGTGGGGAAGGAGACAAACTCATAGTTGACAACTTCCGGGGCCAGGAACTCAGGAGTGCCAAAGTTCACCTTCAGCTTCTCCCGGGGCTTATACCTGGGGAGGTGCGGGGCAGCAGCGGCGGATTAGTGTAGAAGACCATGGGAGTGAGCCCTGGGAGATGTGGAGTGTGGGACTAATTCCTGGTGGGAACTAGACATTCCCCAACCCTTCCTGTCAGCCATCTGCTTGGACCTCACATTCCACCACACATGTGGTTTACTGGGTAATCATCATATCACCAGGACCTTCAGACTTTTCTAAGTCACCAGGAAAAATCAGAAAATCACAGTTCTCTAGGCAATGACAATCAGAAAAGGAAAGACCAATATACCTTAGTCCCAAGCAGCCACAAGATTCGGCTTAAACAAACTGGGTGGAAGCTGTGTGTGGAGGTCTGCTGTTGGTGTGGGCAGTGTGGTTGGGGAGAGGACAGGAAGAATTAGGAAAAGGAAAAATGCTCAACATTACTAATCATCAGGAAAATACAAATCAAAACCACAATGAGATTCCATCTGACACCATCAGGATGGCTGCTATCAAAAAAAGTGTTAGCTGAGATGTGAAGAAATTGGAATCCTTGGCAGTGAGAATGTAAAATGGTGCAGCCACTCTAGAAAACAGTATGGTGGTTCCTCAAAAAATTTAAAGTAGAACAACCATATGATCCAACAGTACCACTCTGAGTATATATCCAAAAGAATCGAAAGCAGAATCTTGTTCATAGCAGCATTATTCACAATAGCCAAAAGGTAGGAGCAACTGAAGTGTCTGCCAGTGGATGAATGGATAAGAAAAATGTGGCATATACATGCAATGGGATATACTGTTCAGTCTTAAATGGAAGGAAATTCTAACACATGCTACAATACAGATGAACCTTGAGGACATTATGCTAAGTGAAATAATCCAGTCGCAAAAAGACAATACAGTATGATTCCACTTAAATAAGGTACCTGTAATAGACAAATTCAGAGACAAAAGGAGAATGGTAGTTTCCAGGGACTGGGACAGGAGAAAAATGAGCTATTGTTTGCAATGAAAGTTTTGCAAGATAAAAAGTTTTGCAAGATGTGAGTTCTGGAGGTTGGTTGCATAACAATGTTAATGTACTTAACAGTAGTGAAATCTTAAAAATAGTTAAGTTGGTAAATTTCATGTTACGTATTTTCCACAGTTAAAAAAGAAAAAAAATTTAGAAAAAGTTCTGGACATAAAGTTTAATGGTGATTAGAAAAGAGAGATGATGGTTGAGGAGGAAGGGGAGTGAAGCAACAAAAGATAGTTCTGAGAATCACTCTTGAAGAAGAAAGTCTGTAACTAAAATTCAGTGGGCAACAACTAAGATGTCCCTCAGTAGCTGAATGGACAATGGAATAGTATTTAATGCTAAAAAGAAATAAACTATCAAGCCATAAAAAAACATGGAGGAAACTTAAATACCTATTACTAAGTGAAAGAAGCCAGTCTGAAAAGGCTACATACTATATGACTCCAAGGATGTGACACTCTAAAAAAGGCAAAATGTAGAGACACTAAAAAGATGAGCAGTTGTCAGGGGTTGTGCTGGGGATAGAGGGGGAGATGAATAGGTAGAGCACAGAGGATTTGTAAGGCATAAAATATCATACTCCGTATGATACCATAATGATGGATCCATGTCGTTATATACTTGTCCAAACTCATAAAATGTACCACACCAAGAATAAACTGTAAACTATGGATTTGTAAACTATGGTGACAATTCTGTGTCAGTGTAGGTTCATCAACTGCAACAAATGTATCACTCTGGTGGGGGATGTTGATAATGGGGGAGGCTATGCATTTAAGGGGACAGGAGATACATGGGAAAGCTTTGTACCTTCCCCTCAATTTTACTGTGAAACTGAAACTGCTCTAAAAAGAGTTAATTTTAAAATGTACTGGGTATTTCCTGTTTGCCAAGTACCATGCTCAAACTTTTACACACACACACACACACACAAAATCTCTTCTCATCCTCACAACAGCCCTGTAAAATAAGTAAGATTACTGTCCCCATTTTAGAGATAAGGCCACTGAGAATAAAATGAATATTCTGCCAATGTGCCTGCTTCCTTTAAACCAGGGAGGTGAGTTGTCAAAGAGCAGTCTCTTCTCTTCCAAATTTGCTGATAGGTAAATGAAGACCTGGAGCCAGCATAACCTACAGCCATCCAGTGAAAGAGCAACAGGCTTACTTTGGTGACCTTGTAGTAGGAAGGTAGGAAGCAAGGCAGCTGGAAGAGGGCACAAGCCCTCTGATAGCCTGCTCCTTCCCTGCACTGCAACCGACTCAGGGCCAATGAGTCAAACTGAGAGGAACAGCCTTCCCCTAAACAACGACCACTCTGTGCAGACAGTCCCCAGGGAATGCCGCAGTGTCCTCCAGCACTCAGGGCCCATAAGAGGACAGTACACTGCTTCATTGTGTGTGGAAAAAAGACCTTTGTTAAATATATGGGTGTATAAGACAATTTGAAGATTCTAATTTTGTTTTTGGTTTAAAATTGTGAGGATTTTTGTTTAGAAAGTATATAAAGTATCTATTACTTCTGATAGGGGTACTGTACCTTTCTGTATTCAGATGAAAATTGGTTTTAGTATTTAGTGTAGATGTAGTCTAGCAAATGTATTTGCAACTATATGTGGCCAATGCTGTGTGATACATACTTTTTTCAATGTATGAAACTTACTCCCCCCACAAAAACAAAGGTGGAGCAGAGGAAGAGAAAAAGAGGAGGGAAGGCCCAGGCCCTCAGCCTCTGGAAGCTACTTTCCAGTTGCATTATCAGTCCTACTGGTTCATCCTGCCCCAGAGCCTCATCCTGTATCATGTGATTTAAAGCCCCTCCCACTGGTGGTGGCATGTGTTGCCCCATCTCACTGATGCTGGGCTTGGCCATATGAGCTGCCCAGCCAATAGAATGTGGGTGGGAGGGACAGTGGGCCAATTCCAAGCCAAGAATTGTAAAAGCTTGTCATCTTGCTGTTCTGCCATCGCCATGAGAAGAGAATTAGAGACAGATGGAGCAGACCTGTCCTCACTGGTCTGTATCTTGGATCCAAGCCCAGCACAGCTCAGCCCATATCAACGATTCCAACCAAGAGTATGTGGGTGAATGTTTAACAACCAGCTACCTGGTTGTTGGTTTTTTTTTAAGGCCTGATTTGTAGCATTTGCAATTTCTTTGCTGTAAATACTGATTTTATTATGGCTGATTTCGTGATGTCACTGAAAACAGAGTTGGCAAGAGATGTGCAATAGCACACTATTCTATAGTATTTCCACCATATAGATTCAATAGGCATAACTAACCTCCTGAGCATAAATAATAATGAAATGAAGTAAAATAATTAGCAAGTGATAAGTTTTTAAAATGTAATATCTTTGTTTTTAATACAATTTCTTTAATTGTAAGTTTATACAATTTAAATTTAATGATGGCCATGTTTTAACAAGTGTATTACAGGATTTCATATCATGAGCTAGTATGAGTTGGGTCTACTGATACTGACTCACAAATGTATAGATGAGAATAAAGACTTTAAAGCAACTGCATTTTGGGGTAATTTGTTATACGGCAATATCACGGCAATAGCTAACCTTAACTCTGTGTCAAAATATCCACCAAGACCTCCTCTCCTGATTCCCAGCACAAAGCTGTCCGTGACCAAAGGGTCACATATGAGGCTGTAGCCTCAGGGGTTGGGTAGGCACTTCCTTGCCCCATCAAAGGATCTGATGAAATTGGCATGGAGTCCAATCTAAGCACTAGACTGGGAGTCAGGAGGCCAAAGCTGTACCCAGCATACTGGAGAGCAAGCTTACACAAGATACTTCCCATCCTGTACCCATCCTTGACCCTTGACATGTCCCTCTTTAGACCCACTGTGGCTTTCACTGCCTACCCTGTGTAATGCTGATCCCTCTTGCTCAATGTCATAGCCTCTGAAGGTTTGTATGTGCCCCACATTCTACTAAGGGACATAACCCCACTGAAAATCTCAGCACCTTCTAATAGCTCCACCCAGAATACAACTTTGTGTTTTGTTAGTTAGTATTACAAGGAGAAATTAGCACTCCCTCCTTCACTACAGTTATTCTGGAGTATAAAATATGTTCTCTCAACCTGCACATCCCCTACCCCCACCCCCCAGATCCTTCCTGTTAGAATACACTTGCCTGGAAGCAGGCCAATTTGGCAAAAATCACCTTGGCAAAAGCCAATTTGCCAAATGATCCTATTACTAGATGACCAGTTTGCCAGACTATTGAAGATGTTTTTGATGTTTCCCTTTCATCTCACACCTGGAACCTGTCAGCCCAGCTCAACTCCATTGAGTTCAGTTTCCTGAATATCACGTGTTTCAGGGACCTGTTCTTCTCCAGTGCCCAGCTGTTTTAAGTGGGTACCCTCTGAAATGTAGTTCCCTGTGTTTAATTTCTTGAACTTGTTGTCTGCCTCTGGCCCACCAGCAAAATTCCTGTAATCAGTGCCCTTGACCAGGATCACAAATTTGTCTGACAATTTTGGACGGATGGTCTGACAGTTTTTGGCTTAATTTTGACTTAGCTGACTTTTAGCAAATTGGCCTGTAGTCTTTCCTACCTCCCCAACAGCTAAGACTGAATGGCCTGACGTTCAAGACTCCCATCAGTGCCTTCATCTCCTACTGCATCTTCCTCCCCCAGGTCAGCCTGCTCACGCACAGTGTGCACCTTATTCTCACTCTCCAGCTGCCCCTCAGGTGGTTACTTCTTGCTCTGATTTCACAGTATGTCAGTGTAAATACTCATTTGGCAATTGGTCATCTGGCATTTGGGAGGGTATTGCATATCCCAGGGTGTGATTCCCAATGACAGGATGGCCCTACAGTGGGTGAGCATGGGTTCTTGTGGGAGGCAGAAAATCTTAGCTATTAACAGTGGTTTGTGGCTCTCCACAGGGCCACAGTACATTAACAGATACACAGTACATCAGTGGTATTAAATTTCATGGAGAGGGGCCTGGCGATTAGGAAATAAATGTTTAAAAAGGCTCTTTGAGGGGGCAGGCAGTGATAATTAAAGATAGGCTGAGAAACAGTGCTCTAGTATGTAAGACATAAGACATCATTTGGGAAAATATTAAGCAATTTTTTTACATTATGGACAACGTGATTTTTTAAGCATTTGGGCTGGGGGATCTGGTATTCATAAAATACAGCAGACCATAAAGGGGATCCAGAAGGTACAGTGGGGTGATATGAACTTTCCTCTGTTGTTCTAATGATATCATACTTGGCCTCCCATCATGTGGGGCACTTAAAATGATTTTTTACCCCTGAAAAGGGTAACATTCACCACTCCAACCAGCAGAAAAGTGATGTAGGAAGAAGCCTGCCACTGTGGTTTAGATTGCCACCTCTAGGAGGCAGGAGCTGAACCCTGGGGGCTGACCTCTGGTGAGCAGTTGTGCCTCCAGGAGAATGAGGTTCTGCTTTCTTCCCCTTGTGGATGGAGTAGAGGATACCATAAGTCCCATCAAGTGACAAGAACAACTTCGTGGAAAATGATCATGAGGGTAAGAGAAAATTTTAAGAGTTGAAAATTCAGCTGTGGTGTGAAGACCTACCTAGGAAATATGTGATTCCCAGAGAAATGCCATTCTTCATGGAAATAGAATTCTGGGGAAAGCCTGGAGGATAGGCACACAACAACTGCCATATTTAAAGATTGTGGATGCTCAAAGATTTGGGGGACAGCCCACCCCAACGCCAAGGGTCTGCTACTAAGAACCCACACCACTGGGTGTGCGTGCCATGGGCAAGAGCCCTATAGAGGCATGACACTCATCATGCATGACTGCGCAAGATCACACAGAAAACTGTCTATACTTCACTAGGCACTAGATACTTTTTAATGTTTACCTTATGCACTTGAAACTTGAGAACCTAACCACCTAATAGGATGGCTCTGCACCGTTGATGTATCATCTCTTTTAACGTTCATCACTGCCCTGTGTCAGCAGGTACTTCACTATATCACCATTTTACCATGACTTAACCCAGTTCTGAGGGGCCCAGAACCACTTATCCACAGCACCGCCCTTCACTGTCATCTGTGCACTTTCCTATTTGACTTAGTCATTTCCTGGAGGGCAGGGATGGTGATGTATATCATACAGCCCAACATCTCCTGGCCCCTGGAGGCCTGGGGGATGAATAGAATTGAGCTGCCCAGAACCCCCATGCCATGGCCTCCTGTTAGCCATCATTCCCCTCTCTGCTCAGACAGGCAGTTTGAAACACAGTTAATTCCACAGCCTTTCAGAGAGAAGCAGAGCCCACAGCACAAAGCCACCCACTGCGGTAATAATAGGGCCTATCTGCACAATTGAAAGCCACTAGCATCTTAATGACAAAGCTTTCTTGTGTCAGTCCCAAAATTCAAAAATTGGTTGAACTGTGGGTAACCACACCCAGGAGAGCCAAAAAAATGCCCAAGGAGTTTTTTCAAAGTACCTAAATAACCCCCTTACCTTCTGGCCAGCCCGAAGTCAATAATCTTAACTTGGTGTCCTGTCTGATTGACACACAGTATGTTCTCTGGCTGGGAAAGAAAAAGAAATCTGTTTAACTCAATCAACTGCTAAGGTCTGCAGCTCCCACACTCACATAAATAGGTCTCTGTTTCCCAGCCCCCAAGGGAAATGAATAGCTCACTGCAGCACTACAGGGATATATAGACAGTGAAAATAGATAAAGTAGATGGGTGTGAGACAATAAGGAGTGGTGTGAACTGTGAAGAAGTAGAGGACTCCTGCCTATATAATGCAGCTCTGCTGGTCACCATGCAGGAATGCAGGCCCAGTTGCCAAAGTTTCTTAGGCTTCAAGAAAAGCCAGAAATAGACATTTCTTTATGTGAAAATTCCATGCTATAAATGTTGACAACTAAATCAAATTTAAATATACATTTTCCTGTATGTTGCAGATTTGGCCCATAGGCTGCTTGTTTGAGACTGTTGGCTTGGGGTGGTGGTTCCAAACTTTGGCTGCACATCACAATTATCAGGGGAGCTCTCAAAAGTCCCAATGCCTAGGCCCCAATCCTGAACAATTACATCCCAGAGTGGGACCAAAGCTTCAATAATTTTGTCAAGGACATCAGAGCTGCTAAATGTCCATCTTTTTTTGTGGTAATGGCTGTGACACATGGGATAAAGACCATGGTCTTGACATGCTTCTCCCTATAAGTCTTTCAGATCAGCTCTGAGTCCCTGAGGGAGCCTGGAACAAAACCTACTGCTTGTGCAGGACAAATTTGGATAGTGGTGGGGAGTGGGCACAGAGGTAGGGTTTATGGTAGAAAGGACCTGGAGGCCTGAGGCCCTCCATACTGAAACCTCAGAGTCTCCACCTATAAAAAAGGAATAATAACCTCTTCCTGCCTTCCTCCTGGGAGGACATGAGGATCAAATGACATAATATGCATGAAGCATTGCAGTTTCCAAAGCAAATGCAGGTACTTTCTCCCAGTAAAAGGTCTTATTGTTATTAATGTTATGATGGGGTTGTACAATTCTTCAGATATCTAAAATCTCCGTGTCTTCTTTATAAGGTGTAGAACAACATTGTCCAATAGAAATATAATGTAAGCCACATATATAATTTAAAATATTCTAGCAGCATTACTGAAATATAAATTATATAAATAATGATATTATAAAATTCACCATTTTAAAGTGTAAAATTCCATGGTTTTTAGTATATTCAGAGTTGTGTGATGATTATTATAATTTTAGAACATTTTCACACTTAAAAAAAAAACCCATACCTGTCAGCACTCTCCATTTTCCCTTTTGCTCCAAATGCTGGCAATGACTAATGTATTTTCTGTCTCTCTGGATTTGCCTTTTCCAGACATTTCGTATAAATGGAATCATAAAATTTTAGCCTTTTGCATCTGGCTTCTTTCACTTATAATGTCCTCAAGGTTTATCCATATTGTAGCAAGTATAAATACTTCATTCATTTTCATAGTTGAATAATATTCTATTGTATGTATATACCATATTTTGTTTATCTATCCACCAGTTAGTGAATATTCAGGTTATTTCCACTTTTTGGCTATCATGAATAATGCTTAAGAACACTTGTATACAAGTTTTTGTGTTGACTTATTTTTTCAGTTCTCTTGAGTATATGCCTAGAAGTGAAATTGCTGGGTCATATGGCAACTCTATGTTTAACATTTTAGGAACTGCCAAACTGTTTTCTAAAGTGGATGCACAAGGTTATAATCCCATCAGGAATGTATAAAGGTTCCAATTTCTCCACATTCTAGCCAACACTTCTTCTTGCCTGTTATTATCATTTTTTATTTTAGCTAGTCTAATGGGTGAAATAGTATCTCAATGTGGTTTTCATTTACATTTCTCTGACTAATGATGTTGAGAAACTTTCCATGTGCTTATTGTCCATTTGTATATCTTCATTGGATAAACGTCTATTCAAATCCTTTGCCCACTTTTAAATGTCTTTCTATTATTGAGTTTTAACAGTTCTTTATATTTGCAATATACAAGTTCCTTATCAGATATATGATTTGGAAATATTTTCTCCCATTCATGGGCTTTCATTTCATTTTCATGATGGTATCCTTTGAAGTATAAAAATTTTTAATTTTGCTAAAGTCTAATTTATAGATGTTTATTTTCTAGCTTGTGCTTTTGAGTCATATCTAAAATACCATTGTTTAATCCAGGCTCACAAAAATTTACTCTTATGTTTTCATCTAAGAATCTTATAGTTTAACTCTTACATTTAGGATCCACTTTGAGGTAATTTTGTATGTAATGTGAGGTAGGGACCCAACTGCACTCCTTTGCATGTGGATATCAAGCATGGCATCCCTGTACTATGCTGGGACATTTGTTGAAAGATTATTCTTTCCCCATTTAATTGTCATGGCACTGTTGTCACAAATGAATCAACCACAAATGTATGGGTTCGTTTTTGGACTCTCAATTGTATTTCATTTACCTATCTGTCCTTCCTTACTTTCATAATATATTGTTTTGATTTCTGTATCTCAGTAGAAAGATTTCAAAATTGGGAACTGTGATTCCTCCCAATGTGCTCCTGTCTTTCAAGACTGATTTTGATATTTTTTGTCCCTTGAACTTCCACCTGACGTTTAACACAAACACATTAATTTCTGCAAAAAATCCAGCTATGATTTTTATAGGGATCATGTTACAGCTGTAGATCAATTTAGGGAGTATTGCCATTGTCATCTTAATAATATTAAGTCTTCCGATTCATGACAATGGGATGTTATTCCATTTACTAAGGTCGTCTTTAGATTCTTTCAACACTTTTTCAATTTTCCGAGTTAGGAATTGACCTCTGTTAAATTTATTCCTAAGTACGGCACCGGAGCGGCCTGCATGAGCCTGTGGCAGCGGCGACCGAGCGACCTGGGAGCAGCCTGTGTGCACTGGCGGCGGCGGCACCAGAGGGGCCCAGGGGCAGCACGCGGGAGCCAGTGGTGGTGGCGGAGGAGTGGCCCAGGAAGAGCCGCACCCCCAGCAGCCACCCATAACCTCAGCCCAGTGCACAGCGGCCTGGGCCAGACAAAAAGGCTGCAATCAGCACACAGCTGCCCAGTGGAGGCACTGCTTTCACAGAAGAGAGCACACCCGGCATGCCTGCCACACCCTGCAGGGCTCTGTGCTACTCTGACGTAGATCCTGCCCACAGCAGCTTACAGGATTAACCCAGAGGCTGCTCCAGGAGTGTAGGTAACTGACACAGGCAGGAGAGAAGGGCAAAGTGACAAGCAAGCAGGAAAAGACTTTGTTCTCCCAGATGACACACATGCTACCTGCCTACAGCTAACTCTATCAACATGAAAAGGCAGAAGAATTTGGTACAGTCCAAAATTACCCAGACAACCCCCAAGAGAGGGCCTGGGGAGATAGACTTCAGCAATCACCCCAAAAAGAATTCAAAATACAGGTTATAACCATGCTGATAGATCTGCAGAGAAATATGCAAGACTTAAAAGAGCAAGTACAGAGGGAGAATACAGAAATGAAACAATCTCTGTAAGGACTTAAGAGCAGAATGGACAGGATGCAAGAGGCCATTAATGGAATAGAAATCAGAAAACAGGAATGCAGAGAAGCTGATGCAGAGAGAGATAAAAGGATCCCTAGGAATGAAAGAATACTAAGAAAACTGTGTGACCAATCCAAATGGAATAATAATCACATCATAGGGGTACCAGAAGAAGAAGAAGAGAGAAAAAGGGATAGAAAGTGTATTTGAAGAAATAATTGCTGAAAACTTCCCCAAACTGGGGAAGGACATGGCCTCTCAGAACATGGAGGCCCACAGAACTCCCAACACAAGGGACACAAGGAGGACAACACCAAGACATATAATAATTAAAATGGCAAAGATCAAAGAAAAGGACAGAGCATTAAAGGCAGCCAGAGAGAGAGAAAAGGTTACCTACCAAGGAAAACACATTAGACCATCATCAGACTTCTCAACAGAAACCTTACAGGCCAGAAGAAAATGGCATGATATATTTAATGCAATGAAACAGAAGGGCCTTGAACCAAGAATACTGTATCCAGCATGATTATCATTTAAATATGAAGGAGGGATTAAATAAGTTCTAAACAAGCAAAAGTTGAGGGAATTTGCCTCTCACAAACCACCTCTACAGGGTATTTTAGAGGAACTACTCTAGATGGAAGCGCTCCTAAGGCTAAATAGATGTCAACAGAGAAAATAAACTCACAGCAAAGAAATCAGACCAAATGCTAACTAAAGGCAAAAAAATAAAATTAACTACTCACAAAAGGAGTCAAAGAAAACACAAAAGAACACAGAATAAAACAACTAACATATAAATATTGGAGGAGGAGAAATAAGAAGAGAGGGAAAGAGTCATCAGACTGTGCTCACAATAGCTTAATAAGCAAGTTAAGTTAGACAGATAGTAAAGAAGCTAACCTTGAACCTTTGGTAACCATACATCTAAAGCCTGCAATGGCAATAAGTACATATCTTTCAATAATCACCCTAAATTTAAATGGACTGAATGCACCAATCAAAAGACACAGAGTAACAGAATGGATAAAAAAACAAGACCCATCTATATGCTGCTTATAAGATACTCACCTCAAACCCAAAGACATACACAGACTAAAAGTCAAGGTATGGGAAAAGCTATTTCATACAAACAATAGGGAGAAAGAAGCATGTGTAGCAGTAGTGGTATCAGACGAAATAGACTTCAAAACAAAGAAAGTAACAAGAGATAAAGGACATTATATAATGATAAAAGGGTCAGTCCAACAAGAGGATATAACCATTATAAATATATATGGACCCAATACAGGAGCACCAATATATATATGAAACAAATACTAACAGAATTAAAGGAGGAAATAGAATGCAATACATGCATTCTAGGAGACTTCAACACACCACTCACTCCAAAGGACAGATCCACTGGACAGAAAATAAGTAAGGACATGGAGGCACTGAACCACACACTAGAACAGATGGACTTAACAGACATCTTCAGAAC